CATAGATCGTCATTGTAATGTCCGCATTGAAGTATATTGTAATAATAGAGCCAATATCAATCAGTCCATATGGTTGTAAAGAAGGTCTTTCTCAAGTTCTATGGCTTCAACAAACTACAGCATTGAATAATTACCAATGATAATGTTTTGTTTGGATTCGCCATATCGCCTTCACTTTCAAAATCCATGTAATTTGGCACCGCACACACTCCGCGCTCCCTCTAAATCTATGATAGTGGCACATGTTAATTTTTCATTAAAAAAAAGATGTGAACATTCAATTACACACGGTTCTCTTTTCATTTCCTCAGTAGCACCACATGGGAAATAGAAGATACCTGAAACTTTTGCTCATACATGTTCCATGTATTGAGTTCTACTGGCATCAGTCACTTTACTCATTTATTATATTCCACCTGCCATTTTTTTAAATTCTATTTCGTTTCAAAGAACAATGGATGATTCGGCCGTTATTCTGGCAAAACAATTGAACTGCTACACTAATGTTAATCTTTGCATTCACTTGATTTTGAAGGTTTGCTATTGTCCATTTGGGAATCGAATTAGTATTTTTTAGGATGTGAACATGCAGTTGTCAACACAACTTCAAGTGTGTGTCTTTTTATATCAGAAATTCTGATGTTACCGCATTTCCAAATGTCGTTTAAAACACAATTTTCATTTATGAAAATGCGGCTGAATACATTAGACTTGAATTCCAAGTTGATTGCAAGAAATGGCAAACTAATCCAAGTTGATGTTCAATGATTTTATTCGTTTTTTTTTCTATTCCCGACTCAGCAACGGAGGCGATAGTAATGGTGGTGGATTTTCTTGCATACAGCTAATAAATATTTTCACCGTGTCATGCCGACTACAAAATGTAAGATATTTTTGTGTGTGTGTGTGTTGATAAATCGGTAGAATGCAAAACCGAACAACACCAACCAAATTATACAAGATGATTGATTGGTTGTCATCAATAAGTCGTTCTAAATGGATGAATAAATCGACTATTGTGTTTTGTAATCGAAACGCATATATTCTTCCTGAATTTCACATCGTTTCTATCGATATCGATGAATTGCCATAATTTTTCTTGTACAGGTTGAAGTTTTTAGAAAATAATTGAAGACGACGAAAAAGAAGATCAAAATGTTGACGAAATTCGAAAGTTCGAACCATTTATTTGAAATTAATTCATTTTGTGATAATATCCATGGTGAAAATGTGTATTTCGCCAATTTTGCAAGCCGCGCAAAAAAAAAAGCACCGTGTGTTTGTTGCGATGCACAATTCACGTGATGTGAATATTTAAATTAAAGTTAATATCCTTTATGAATTTTTAACATTGTTATGTGGTCTTATCACTGCTTCATAAGCTCTGCATTTCCATCGTTGTGTTGAAAATGATTTTTGCCTTTTCTCTCTCCCTCTGTCTGTCTCCTCGTTCGTTCTGTCAGTATCGGTATACTGAAGCTTTTTATTCAAATTTTTTATGAACGCTGCTACTTTCTTCGGCGTTTACAAACGCTCGCATAAGATGCACACACCCAAAATAAATAGAAAAAAATCTGAGAGAGAGATAGCTGAACCATATACGCAAGTACAAAACCAAATCCTTCATGTTTTATCGATATCATAATCGATTCGATAGGCATATGGTGAAATGAATGCGTAATTCAAAGAGCAAACCGCAAAGCCTGATGCACGAGAAATAATGTTCATTGTGTATTATAGTTTGGGGTTTTTATCCTGGTGGTTTGCATATGTGTATATCTGTTTTGTGCATGTGCGCTGGCATTTGGATTCTCTTGGTTGTAATAATATATTCTCTCTGATCGGTATGAGTGGCTTGAGTTAAAAATTCATTGTTCTAAAGGCCAATAGCAAGCTCGGCAATAGCGAAAGAATTGCAAAATGTACGCGCGTTCGTTCGGTTGCGTCGATGTAATGGCTCGTTTATTGTATTCAAACGGAGTTATCTAGGCCAAATGTATTGAACAATAACAATGAAGTTGGAAAGCATAACTTTATCATCATCATCATCGTCATCATCATTTTTTATATATACATATATTGTTGTTGTTACTCTGTGTGTATCAACCTTCAAACAGCAAAAATCATCCCTAGTGAATCAATATATCGAACTAAAACCGAAAGACGCCTCCATTTCCAGCGCAGTGAGGAACAAATTATCGACCAAAAATGAACAGCATAAAATACACTCACACAGAGACGGCAAAAAAAAAAATATCAAAAGTGCAAAATAGCGACGAACAACAGAGCAACAAAAAAAAACATCAAGCATTTGAAGCACAACCAAAAGTATATTCCCAAAAATCCACTTGAAATATTGTTTTATGAATCTCGTTGGTATATTCTTGTCATTGGTTGCATTAATGTACTGTTGCTGATTTTGATATAACTCGTTTGCTCATTACTCAGTTTCATACAAATACTCGAACACATTTTCTAATTCACACTACGCATTTTAATTACCGCAACATATCGACGGGTATTTCCGCCAACCAGGGTGACTGCTAATCAAATGAACTTAACGCACAAATGAAAAAATACCCGCCGCAATATACAAACAGCGTAACCAACAATAGTAAAAATATTGTCGAAAATGAGTGATATATGAGTGGTATAAGAGGAAGAAGCGCGTAATAACCATGGTAAAATCGAAAACAGCAACGCACAACGAAATAACAAAAACAACAAAATGAACGAGAATATAAAAGAATGAACAAAGCGAAAGAGAAAAACAACAAACGCACATATAATATATTGACATACCGAAAAAAAAAATCTATACATAACCGCACCCATACGCAAATATTGAGTGAATTATCTCACAAATTAGATTCAAAAATAATCATAAAGTTCAGTTTGAATGCGTTGCAATGTTTTATATGGGTTGCCATAAACAGATGAATTATTAGGACAAATATGAGAATTGAAAGTCAGACCACTTGAAGTCGAAACGTTCATTGAGAATCGATTCGGTATGCTCTTTCTCTTTCTCACCGTCACCATCATCGACGCTCTATCTTTCTCAATGTGTCGGCTCTTTGTGTTGCGATTATTAACCGTGTGTGTATGGGTGTATACATGGCGGATAAACGCCGGTAAAATACACATTATGAATTGTACTGAATTAATTGAAGCGCTTTGAACTAATTAAATCATTTTATTGATTTTGGCAAAAGAATTTGTAATAAATTGCGGCAAACATGTCTCTTATTTTCATTATGCTGTACGTAGCGCGTTGTATGTATTAAACAAATTTGAAAATAGTTGTTGTTTGTGTCGTTGTAGCCAATATTTTTTTGTTTTCATTTTTCAAATATGAAATTAATTAAGCGTTTAGAAGCGAATTAATTTCACAATCCAATGATATGAGCATATCCATATTTCATTCGATGCAATTAAGTCTGTATGAAGTATGGAATGTAGCATTTTTGGCGGGAGTACAAATGCAGATGGGCTTGATTGCACGCTGTTTGTTTATGACGATGATGACTCAAAAATCGGTTAAAATTCAAAATTTTAATAATGCCCATGTATACACACAGACATACATGCAGATGCGCATGTAATCGAGATTCGTGCGCGTTCGTTTTACTTACGTATTTGTGACAAAATATTTGTTTGTATTTTGACATATTACTGCGACTGAAGTTAAAAAAAAATCATCACAGAATTGAATAAAAACGTAAAGAAGGATTAAAAAAAACTCTCGTCATGCAGACATTATATTAGATTGTTATATGGAATGAGATCTTAATTGAAAGCAGCCAAATGTGTCTAGAGTACGCTGTATTCTATGCTCTTCACGGCGAGTACGTGCTAAATTAACAATTAATATTATATGCGCTTTAGTTTCTTCTTTCCATGATTTCTGATCATTTTTGTTGTTTGCCAATATTTATAATATCTGAAAGCATAAACATAAATTTTATTTTGAATGGAATTGACCATTCTGTTAAATTGAAGATGTTCGCATTGTGTGTCATTCCGATTTCAAAGAAAAAAACTGTTTTTTCTTTGCTCGTATAGCGTGTAGTGTGCACTGCGTCTGCCACATTCGTTCTCATTGTGTGTATAGGGCTGACAGAAATGCTGCTGTATATGCTCTCAGCTCAACCGAACCACGCGTGAATGTATATCATTTTTTGCCTATTAGAACTTCATCGAGTACCAGCACACACACATATATACCTAGCAATGTTGTGTCGTAGGGTGATCACATCATAAAATAAATATGGAAATTTGAATTTTGGTAACGAATTTTCGTGGGGAAGAATGATTTGAGTAAGAAAAATGAGCACATTTAAAAACATTCGCCAACAAAATGTGTGCATTTCAAAAGCACAGCATATTAATCATTTGTATGAATGTAAAATCACGGAATTCTAAATGGAATGGAAAATTTCCATTTATCTTTCTTGTAAAAGTCGTTTCTTTTTTTTTTTACAAATCTTGTTTCTTTGCAGATTTTTTAAAAATAATTGGCAGCTCACATTCAAGTAAAATCATTGCTTTTACAAACGATGACATTTAAAAAAAACCAACATTCAATTTGTAATAAGATTTATATATTGATGAAAATGATCACCCTATGATTGTATAGCGATGAACGCGCCAATTTCCGTTGACATGATGTGTTACAGTTTGAGTGTGTGCTCGCTTTCATTTTCGTCTTGTTGCTGATGTTTAATGGTATTTGTATATTGCCGCAGTTCTAGTTCTCTCTTATGCTCTCTTGCGACATAACTTTGGCTCGGACATTTGTCGTGTATGCGCACAATTTTGCTTGTATTGGTGCGTATACGATTACGGTTGAGAGAGAGTGAGCGAACGTGAATGCAAGAGTGTGGCGGCCTCACCAACATAGCACAAGCAGCAGCAGCAGTAACACAGATATATATTACGGAATACACATGAACACGAAGTGAGAAAAAAAACGCGTTCCTTGTCGCAGCAATTCGAAACATTACAAATAATCAGTTGCACTTGAATCATCAAGCCATTCGGACTTGTCTTTAAATTCTGTGTCGTTTTAGTAATAAATTTCCAGTTTATTTTAACTTCGTCAAGTAATTCACAGCAGATTTTCGGTTCGGTACGAAACAAAAAAACCGTTGCGCGCGACTAATACTACACAGAAAGAGAGAAAATACCTAAAGTAATACAAAGTATTTAAATCGATTTTCATCTTTCTTGTTGCGGCCTGATCTATCAACACAGTGTGTTTAAACGAAAAATATTTACAGAAAAAGAAAATTAATTAAAAGAAAACAAATTCATAACAGTGTACACTAGTGTAGAAACTCTTGTTTGCACAAAAAAAAATTATAATAATCGTCATCCAACGGATTACCAAGCGAAAATTAAAGAACAAGCAAACACTTACAACAAAAAAGGAGCATTTTTTTGTTAAACCAACAACAAAACATCAAAAAAACCGTTTTTAAAACCACACACACAAAAAACCAAATTTAGCAAAAATGGTAACTATTGATTTACAAATTAACATAACATAACATAAGTAAAACGTAAAATAAGACATATATAGCAAGTAACCTATTAACAAGAACGATAGAAAGAAAAGTAAACTGTAAATCAGCGATAAAAGATACATATTCACAGCAGAATATTCACGATGGAAATTAAAATCGGAATTGAGTAAAAAAAAAAAAAAAAAATAGCGGCAGAAAAAAATCTATACACATAATATAAGACATGAGAATCCGAAATGAAAAAAACGAAAAAGAAGAAGAAGGCGTATTAGTAAGATAACTTTAAACGAACAAGACAATCAACAACTGAAACCAAAAATAAATTTCCTCTTACATGCAGCCAAAGGTGCAAGCAAAAAAGACACAAGCCCATTTTCATTTCTTAAAATTTGTTGTGTTTTTTTTTTCTTCTTATTCGTTTTTTCTGTGCATACTGTGTCTTTTCTCTTGATTTTTGTGTTCGAAGCCGAATTTCATCTTTTCAAATTCGACACATTTCTTTAATTTCTATCGTTTGCCTCAAAATTCAAAGACACATCGAAATGAAAGAAAGAAATTTGCATTTTTTCCGTAATGTCATTTCTGAGTCGACATTGTTCCTCTTATTTTTTTTCTTCTGTTCTTACTTTGCTAATTCGTCATCACTCGTTTTGTCTCACTCAAAACGGCAAAAAAATTGTTTTTTTTTTTCTTCTCTCGTTACTTCGTTCGCATGTACGATTGTGTGACGGAAATTGTATAACAATATATATATATTTTCAAAGTAAGAGCGAGAGCGATCTCGTCAGTACAACACACTTAAAGAAATGCCTGTATACGTATATCGAAGCGAAATGAAAAAGAAGAAGCAACAGCAGTAGCGCATTGGTAGTAGTAGTTGTAGAAAAATTCTGCTTCTCATTTGATTTCTCCACTCCGTTAGAATCTTGTTCAACTAGAATTTCAAATATGTAGCAAACTAACGATAAATACAACAACAACTCAACACGAAAAATACTTTTTTTTTTTAATTTAAAATGCAAATAAAATGAGCAAGCGACAAAAGAAGAAACATCGACAAAATTAACGACAAGACAAAAGACAGATGAAATGGAAAAAGAAGAGTTAGTCATTCTCATTGTAGAGCATATATGGCAAAACCGAAAAGCATTCAGTGCGTTCAGAACATTGAACAAAATACATGGCCGCGAATTTCATATGCATACAAAATGAACCATACAACACAATTACATTGACGCGCAAAATGTATTAAATATACGAAATATGGTGAGAAAGAGATAAAGACGCTCATTCTCTTTTCCACACATTGACATAGACAGAGAGAAGAAAATGATTTTGTGTGAATTCGCTTAATCTTTTATTTGAATTCGCTTTTTTCAATAATTATTCGGGTTTTTTTCAGCGCATTCGCTATCATTCTCCCTCTATCATTCTGCATTTGAACTAAATAAAAAAGAACGGTGTACACCGTTTTTCATCATTATTTGGCCGAGAGAGGACTAAAGAATACCACAAAGTGGTTATTTAATACAATATCGGGAAAATCTATTAATTAGTAATGGTATTATTTCTTTTTTTTTGGTAACAAAAAATGTGTCACTCCAAATCGGCGTTTATGTCAAAAGCGACATACACAAACCATTCCATCGGAATTGTTCGTGTGAACAAAACCGATTTTTGATGATTTAATGCTTGCTTGAATTTAATACATGTTTTTTTACTCGCTCTCTATCTCGTTCTCGCTTCATTTTTCTGCGGAATATCTAGTTCTTGTCTTATGGCTTGTACCGATAAAGAATGTTTGTGCCAGTGTTTGTGCATGTTGAAATGTGAGTGTAGTTGTACGTCTCTCTCTCTCTATGTGTGTGTGTGTAAGTGTGCACCTCTCATAAGCAAAGAAATCGGTTTGCTCTTACAATCATTATCTTTGTCTCTGTTTGTCGCGCGCGCATTTTGGCCACGCTATCACAATCGAATGAGTCGAAAAGAGAGAACTATTGAGAGAATTGAGCTGAAAATGGTTTTGCGCTTTAATACGGCTGTACGTGTGCGTACTTCAATAAATGTATGCAGAGAAGTGTGTATGTGTGGAGAGAATAAGAGAGCCGAGCTAGTTAGCATTCGTGGTTGTGTCGTCGTCACCTGTCGCCGTCCTCGTTTGACGCGATTTCAGTTTTGCCGCAATGCGGGACTTTTTTGTCGATGTGTTGTTGTAAAGTCTGAAGGAAAAAGCGACACTTCGTTTCAATACTACTAATTCAGCATACTATCTGTGTATGCTGAGTTGGATCGAGCCATCGCAATTTTTTCTACTTCTTCGTTGTCGTCGTCGTCTTCTTCTTCTTCTTATTTTTTCTTCGGTTCATTCCTTATGCTTTGCAGATATACAAATATGTCAGTCTCCGGCCATAAAATGTGCTCCATCCCAAACAACATCTAAATTAATGCAATTTTCTTAACGCAACTTTTCATTCTATATCTTTTTCGATATGTGTATGTTTCCACACAATATTCTTGATTTGGTAATTATCAAAACATAGCAGTCAACACAAATTTTCCTTTCTTTTGTTGCGCCCACTTGAAAATGGTCGTGTTTGTCTCTGTGTGTATATATATATATTTCATTTTTCAGTTATCTGCATCTAGAGATAAGTAAAAAAGTTTTCGACCTGGCACACAAATTAATGGCAAGCTTGCAGTGATGATCTGAAAAAAAAAATGTTACGCATGTGCTCCCCAACAATGACGAATCAAATAACACAAAACACCACCACTTCTTGTTTCTTTTCTATTCACACATTTTCCTCCATGGAAAGCGTACTCAGAAAATATCAACTGTAAATCGACCAATGGACGAATATTTGATGTACTTTGTTTAATGTTTTTTTTTTGCTCGTCAGAATACTCTATGGTACATTAAATTGTATGGTACAGAATAATATAAACTTTGTCCAACAACAGAAAATCTACACCAAATTCATCATTCTCAACAAAAAAAATGAGGAGAGCGAAAGAAAGGGGGGAGGGTGCCGAACGTTGAAATTCCTCAACGATATATAAATGTCACACGTTTTTCATGTATTTCACTATTTTCATAAAAAAAGTACGATGATACTATTCTCTTGTACACAAGGCTGACGTAAACCACTAGAAATTCGGTTTTTCTTTTCGCATTTCATTCACGTAATTTTATGTGTTGTGTCGCTCGTGTCGAAATGCCTACAGAGTTTAATTTTGTGTCAGTATTATTTCGCTTCTTTTTTGTCGTATTTTATTACATTCTTTTAGCTGTCCCTCTCATACACGCTCAACAACTATGTTCGATAGTTTTTTATCGGCAGCATTTTTTTTCGCTTAATCTTTTATTTGAATTCGCCATCTCTCTATTTCCACAATAAAAAATGGCAATTTTTTTCTCTTTCGCTTTTTCGTCTCTAATTCGGATGATGATTATACGCAAAGCAATCGACACATGAACACATTTACATAAATATTAATAATTGAATAGAACGCGCACACAATCACACAGTTGAATGTCGTAGAAACAAGATAGCAATAGAGAAAAATTTGTGTATGCTACACATGTCAATCGAAAACAAGTGAAATGAGCAACCGAAAAAAGTAAAAAAAAAAACACACACAAGACGAGCACTATTTTATTGTGAAAAATTCCAAGAAACATAAAAACACAGTGCAAATAAGCTGGTCATTCTCAATCTAGTTATGCACTATAATTATTCATGTTAGAATGGAACCACACACATGTGTGTGTGTGTGCTTTTTTATTGTTTTCTCATTCGCGTGGATTTACTTTAGCTAAAATAGATTTTGCTATTTGATATGTACATTTGTATGGGTTTAGTTTTCATTCGAAAAATAAAATGGACACAACATTTCATCAAAACTGATAATATACAACGCTGAATAGAAACATAAACTCGAATGAGATCGCACGGCTAAAGCAATGAGAAGTAGAAAAAAGAGAAGCAATGGTATGCTTGCGAATAGAGAGACATCAACCAAAAAAAAAGTTCACTCTAGTGACTATTCATGTTGGGTAATAAAAAATAGCGATAACGGAATCCAGGCAAAAGGCAATGAATAAAAAACAAGCCATTTCACTTCACGTTCACTGCAATACACCGAAGATTGGATTTTGATGAAACATACTTGCTTTTAAGTTTGAAACTTAAATCAAAAACAATTTCTCAATTCAATGTTTGTTCTTGTTATCGAAGGATACGCTTGTGTCCATTTTCGCTTTGATGATATGATACGTGAATGTTATCGTATTTCATGAAAGTGATTACTTTATTATGTCTTTGAATTAATGTTCAGCTGGAAATAAGCATTTTTGCAATGAACGAATGGGTCGGTCTCACACCTATATTCCCTTCCTCTTATCATGACATAATGTGTACCTTGAATAAATACGATTTACGCACGGTGTCCATTTTGAGCTGACTTTTACCGTGCATAAATATCGCACACAGTGTGAAAAATGAAAGAGAAAAAAACAAACACACACACAGATCTTTTGCATATAATTAAATATGTTTATTGGGCTCGTTTCGTCATCGGCATAAACATCAAAATGGATGAACAAAATGATGCTAGTTTTGAACTTGAATTGGTATTATCCGTAACGCTCTCTCTTCTTATCACCGTAAAACTTGTTTCACATGTAAATTTCTTATCCTGTGTGGCCATATAGTTGTGTCGCAATTCTATTTTCAGCCCAGTTGATATGCTTTGATTTTTTTTCTCTTTCAAATTCTCTCTTCTCGCTTGCATGCTCTATTCATAATAGTTTACAACATGATTCCAATGATGTTAATCGAGAGATACTAGTTTTTGCACATGGCGCACGATGGTTGACGTGGTTGGGACGAACGGAATTTAAATCCTTGTCGTAATTTGTGTATCGCATTACAAGCTCAATCGAAATTGATGTGTAAATTCATGCTTTGTATATGAACATGTGAACGAGC